TTGCCATCCATTTCTGAGTGCTTTTTGACGTATGTTTGGGGTCATTGTCCTGCTGGAAGACCCAGGATCTTGGACGCAAACCAGCTTTCTGACACTGGGCCCTACAGTGCGAGACCCAAAATCCTTTGGTAATCCTCAGATTTCATGATGCCTTGCACACAGTCAAGGCACCCAGTGCCAGAGGCAGCAAAACAACCCCAAAACATCAATTGAACCTCCACCATATTTTACCGTAGGTACTGTGTTTTGTTCTTTGTAGGCCTCATTCCGTTTTCGGTAAACAGTAGAATGATGTGCTTTACCGAAAAGCTCTATCTTGGTCTCATCTGTCCACAAGACGTTTTCCCAGAAGGCTTTTGGCTTACTCAAGTACATTTTGGCAAACTGTAGTCTTGCTTTTTTATGTCTCTGTGTCAGCAGTGGGGTCCTCCTGGGTCTCCTGCCATAGCGTTTCATTTCATTTAAATGTCGACGGATAGTTCGCGCTGACACTGATGCTCCCTGAGCCTGCAGGACAGCTTGAATGTCTTTGGAACATGTTTGGGGCTGCTTATCCACCATCCGGACTATTCTGCGTTGCAATCTTTCATCAATTTTCCTCATCCGTCCACGACCAGGGAGATTAGCTACAGTGCCATGGGTTGCAAACTTCTTGATAATGTTGCGCACTGTGGACAAAGGCAAATCTAGTTCTCTGGAGATGGACTTGTAACCTTGAGATTGTTGATATTTTGCCACAATTTTGGTTCTCAGGTCCTCAGACAGTTCTCGTCTCCTCTTTCTGTTGTCCATGCTTAGTGTGGCACAGACAGACACACAATGCAAAGGTTAAGTGAACGTCTCTCCTTTTTATCTGCTTTCAGGTGTGATTTCTATATTGCCCACACCTGTTACTTGCCCCAGGTGAGTTTACAGGAGCATCACATGCTTGTAACATTCTATTTATCCGCAGTTGTGAAAGGGTGCCAATACTTTTGTCCAGCCCATTTTTGGAGGTTTGTGTGACATTATGTCGAATTTGCTTTCTTTCCTCCCTTTTTTGTTTTGTCCCAATACACACAAAGGGAATAAACATGTGTATAGCAAAACATGTGTTAATGCAATACGTTTCGTGAGAAATACATGATTTCCTGGAGAAATATCAAGGGTGCCAACAATTTCGGCCATGACTGTATATATATATATGCATATGTGATTTTAGAATTGTAGCACTCTACCCCTTTAGGGATTGCTGATGAATTCACAATTCGTGATGAGATCTCCAGTGTCCTCTCACTCTCCATGGGCACCTTTCCCTCCCACACTCAAACATGCACTGGTTACCCCCATTCTCAAAAAAACCTTGTTGGACTACCTGTTTGAATAACTTAAGACCCATCTCCCTGCTCCCGTTTACCTCCAAGCTCCTCGAGCGCCTTGTTCACAACTGTATGAACTGCTACCTCACCGACAACAACCTTCTTGATCCCTGACAGTCTGGCTTCTGCACACAACATTCCACATAAACTGCCCTACTAAAACTCACTAATGACCTACTAACTGCTAAAACCAATGGCCATTACTCCATAATCATACTCCTTGACCTTTCCGCTGCCTGTGACACAGTCAACCACCCGCTCCTCCTCAGTAAACTCCACTCCATCGGCCTCCGTGACTCTGCTCTCTCCTGGTTCTCCTCTTACCTTTCTCAGCGCACTTTCAGTGTCACATACAACTCCTTTTTGTGACAGGAGTGACTTTTGGAGGTGGGGGGACCCCTGTATCATCTCCCCAAATCCCTCTTATGTGTAACGGCACCCTGTGCCTGTAAGGGGCGCAGGGTGCTCTGTCCGGATATTGTGTAGACATGTATTGGTTGGGTGTGGGGGTTGTCCATTGTTCACTGCCATGTGGTTGCCCCATTGTTTTATTGTGTCTTGCTTGCCAGCAAACTATTATGGGATGCATGTGTTCCCCTATTGTCTACTGCCACCTGGTGTATCCCATTGTTCTATTGTGTGTCTTGGTTTGGTGGGGGGTGTTTCCAGCAGCCCTTGCCTCCTGATGGGATGCCTGTTGATTTGTTTCCTGGTTGTATTTCCCCACCCTGTGTATATATCTTGTGTTTGTGTAAAAATAAATCAGTTGACTTCCTGTTTTAAGAGAGTCTGGTGCGGTCTTATTTCCTGTATGATCAGCGGTGGGGTCCATGGATGGTGTTCAGCCAGGGGAAACGGGAGTCTAATGAAAATACCCAAGTGCGGTCTGGGTCCGGTTCCGTTACACTCCACCTCCGCTCCTCTTCCCCTTTCTGTTGGGGTACCCCAAGGTTCTGTTCTTGGGCCCCTCCTTTTCTCTATACCTCCTCCCTGGGCCAACTGATAACCTCCCATGGCTTCCAATACCACCTCTATGCTGATGACACCCAGATCTATCTCTCCACTCCCCAGCTCACCCCCTCAATCTCCTCACGTATCACAAATCTACTAAGCGACATATCAGCATGGATGTCACATCACTACCTCAAACTCAATCCTTCAAAAATTGAGCTTGTAATATTTCCTCCTCCCCTATTCCCCACTAACGACTTTACCATTAAGATCAACAGCACAACCATTTGTCATTCCCCTCATCAAAGGGAGCTGGGCGTAATCCTGGACTCTGACCTCTCCTTTGGGCCCCACATCCACTCACTGGCTAAGTCCCGCCGCCTCAACCTCTGGAACATTTCCAAAATCCACCCCTTCCTGACCAATGACACCACAAAACAACTTATCCACGCCTTGGTTATATCCCGCCCCGATTACTGCAACTCCCTCCTCACTGGTCTACCATTACACAGGCTATCCCCCCTTCAGTCTATTATGAATGCTGCTACTAGACTCATACACCTTACGAACCGATCAGTGACTGCTGCCCCTCTCTGCCAATCCCTTCACTGGCTTCCACTAACCCAACGTATAAAATTCAAAATACTAACCACAGCTTACAAAGCCATCCACAACACTGCCCCTAGCTACATCGCCGACCACTTCCAAAGATACCGCCCAAATTGCCCACTCCGCTCCTCCCATGATATCCTCCTCTCTAGCTCCCTCATCACCTCACCTCCTCCCACGCTCGCCTCCAGGACTTCTCCAGAGCCTCTCCCATCCTCTGTCCCTACCACAGCATGTCCGGTTAGCCCCCACCCTGTCGGCCTTTAGGAGATCTTTGAAAACTCACCTCTTTAGGAAAGCCTACCCCGCCTCCACCTTAGAACTGTACTTGATCATCCCCTGCAGCTATCACCTTTTGTATCATCTCCCCCTTCCTTTAGATTGTAAGCTGCATGAGCAGGGCCTTCCTATTCCTTCTGTAATGAAAGTATTGTAAATGTACTGTCTCCCTTATATTGTAAAGCGCTGCGCAAACTGTTGGCGCTATATAAATCCTGTATAATAATAATAATAATAATTTGGGTCCCCCTATAGTCTTGCACAGCCTGTAATTTAGCATTTTTCCACACAAGCTCCCATCCGTAGACAGAAATCAATCCTTGAGCATTTATTTTGTTATTTTATTGAAGGGACTAGAACTTGGATATTGTAAGGGGTGTTTTGAGGGAGCATAGGCAGGACAGAACACACAAAGAAGATGGTAAACACACAAAGCTTTATTAAGGAAATGACAGTCACTCAATTGGGGTCTGCAGGTAGCGTGGCAGCACCCAGTCCAGGGGAATAGGAAGGAGAGGGCTCAAAATAAGTGTAATCTGTCCCCAAGGGGTGGCAAGGTTAGAGTCTCTAGCAATTTGTAATCCAAGTAGGGAGCAAAGGGGGAACAGAGTTCAAGGACAGTCCAGTGGGGATAAACAGGGGTGCATACACTCACGGCTCTAGCAGGGATGCCCGGGTTCACAGCAGGTGACAGTCCAGGGGGCGACCCACCTCAGCACACAACAGAGGGTCCTAACAACAGGTACCAGTCCTGAGTACCAGCAATGTACTCCGTGGGGAATAATCCTCTCAATCTTAGCATCAGCATCAGCAGTAGTAATAATCCTGCCAAGCGTTGGGTATTGCTGCAGCGTGTCAGTAGTGGGAATAATCCCCTCGATCTCCACCCCAGGGCAGCAGTATTAATAATAATTCCCCCCAGCTCAGGGGCGGCAATAATAGCCCTTTGGGGTCTTTTGCAGAGTGCTACCAGAGTCCCACCTCAGTGCAGACTTTCCTGGCAGCTGCACAGCGGTGAGGAAGTGCAAGACTCTCTCCTCAGGCCTCTTAAGGTTTGTCTGGAGCGTCCCGGGTCACCCTAGCAACCGAGGGCGGCGTGCCTCGTCGCCCTGCAACGAGGCATGCCCTCTTGACACTGGCCGTGCTCTCGGGAGCACGGCCTTTGTCCTCTGAGGAGTGCAACCCCCGGGAAAAACTGTGCCTAAGCTGTTTGTTGGGGCCGTGCGGCGTCAGTATGGCTGCTGTGGCCTGGGCTCCCTGGTGAGTTGCCCGCCCTCTTCCCCCCGGGACATGCAGGCTTCTCAGGGACAGGACAGGGGGGAGTGACGAAAGTCGCACTTCTCCTCCTGGATGGTCCGCATCAAAGGGCCGTGACAGGATGGGGGGGGGCAGGAGGGGGAAGTTGCAGAGAGAAATAGAAGCAAGAGACATGCTGCCTAAACACGTGACAGTCAAGAGACAGGCGCCTGCACATTGTGACACTCCTCCCCCTTCCATTTCACAAGTGCCGGCAAGGGGGCCCAACCGGGTTCCCTTGAAGGCACTTGTGGGTCCTAACTCTGCTACTGTGGGTCCTGCTGGCGGGACAGACCGTCCACATTTTGGTGTTGACCTCCCCGTCTATACTGAATGGTGAAATTGTAGGGCGAGGCTCCATCGGGGGAGGTGCCAGTTGTCCCCGGGCACCCTATTTAACTACCAACTGCAGATAGCTGAATGACGGCTACACTGCGGCCGGCCAGTTTTGGGAGGGTGTCATATGATGTCCTCCTAGAACGCGCTCTCCTGCGCTCCCCCGGGGGCGTGCACCCGGCGATCTGCGTGATCGCTGTGTCCTACGGACACAGCTGATCACGTGATGTGGTAAAAGGCCAATCACAGCGGCCTTTTTTACCACGTGATCAGCCGTGTCCAATGACACACTGATCACCAGGATATGCAATTGCCGGTTCTCGGCTGCACTTTCCTCACGCTGTCAGAGCATGAGGAAAGTACTGCCGAGAAACGGCAGTTGTCAGAGCAGGGATCGGCACCGATGATCAGTGCCCAGCAGTGCTACCCACCAGTTCCGCCCACCTGTGCCACCCAGCAGTGCCACCCACCTGTGCCACCCACCTGTACCCACCAGTGCCACCCACCAGTGCCCATCAGTGCAGCCCAACAGTGCTGCCAGTCAGTGCCACCAGTCAGTGCCCAGCGGTTGTGCCAGTCAGTGCCAGCAGTTGCGCTAGTCAATGCCCAGTGCCGCCAGTCAGTGCCCAGCAGTGATGCCAGTCAGTGCCACCTATCAGTGCTGTCTATCAGTGCTGTCTATCAGTGCCGCCTATCCGTGACACCTCATTAGTGCTGCCTATCAGTGCCGCCTATCCGTGCCACATCATTAGTGCTGCCTATCAGTGCCCATCAGTGCTGCCTATCAGTGCCCATCAGTGCCGCCTATTAGTGCCCATTTTCTTTAGGGCCTAAACTATGGCCAGGCACTCTTTTTCTACTGTAGCGTAAGCAACTTCCCTGTCTAGTAGTTTGCGGCTGAGGAAGGCGACGGGGTGTTCCTTGGCTGAGGACGGCCCCTAGGCCACAGGTGGAGGAGTCTGTCTGTACCAGGAAGCGTCTGTTGTGGTCAGGGGCGGCCAGGATGGGGTTGCTTGCCAGGGCTGACTTGAGGTCACGGAAGGCGGCGTCGCAGGCAGAGGTCCAATTCACCATTCTGGGGCTGCTCTTCCTAGTCAGGTCGGTCAGGGGCTGGGCCGTGGAGCTGAAATTAGGTAAAAATTTACGATAATAGCTGGCAGTTCCATGGAACGCCATCACTTGTTTCTTGGGCTGGGGGGTAGGCCAGTCATGGATGGTTTGGACCTTTGCGCGCTCAGGTTTCAATCCCCCCCCCACTCTGTGTCTGAGATACTGCACCTCAGCCATTCCTAGCTGGCATTTGTCCGGTCTCACTGTCAGCCCGGCCCCGCAGATGCGGTCCAGGATGGTCCCCACATGCGACAGATGCTCCTCCCATGTGTCGCTGAAGATGGCTATGTTATCTAGGTAGGCACACGCAAACCCTTGGCACCCCTCCAACAGTTGGCCCACGACCCGTTGGAAGGTGGATGGGGCGTTTTTCATGCCAAAGGGCATGACTAGGAACTCGTACAGGCCGAACGAGGTGATGAAGGCGGAGCGTTCAATGCCCTCCTTGGTGAGGGCGATCTGCCAGTAACCCTTACTGAGATCTAGGGTGCTGACGTATTGGTCCCCGGCGAGACGATCTAGTAGGTCGTTTATGCGGGGCATGGGGTAGGCGGCACTGACGGTGTAGTCGTTCAACCTCCGGTAATCCACGCAAAAGCGGGTGCTCCCGTCCTTTTTTGGCACCAGCACTACCGGGGAGGCCCAGGGACTATGGGAGGGTCGGACGATGCCGAACTGGAGCATCTCCGAGAGCTTGGCCCGGATGGCTGCCTTCATGGATTCGGGGACTCGGTAGGGGGCCTGCTGGATGGGCTTTTGACCGTGGGTCTCCACATGGTGGAGGATTAACCCAGTACGGCCCGGCCTCTAGTATGGCCCGCATCTGGATTGTTTGGCGGGGGCTCAGCCGAGCCCCCGTGGAAATCTGATCTATAGGGGTGGTGGATTTTGTGGCTTGCAAGAGGTCGGGCAGGGTCGCCTCATCGGCCTCCCCTGTGGAGGCGGGGCAAATGGCTAGCACGGGCAGATTCCTGTCATGGTACTCCTTCAGCATATTGATGTGGACCGTGCACTTCTGACGGCCTCAGGCATTGAGGCTAATGACATAGCTAGTCTCGTCTATTTTACGAAGGACCTTGTTGGGTCCTTCCCAGGTGCTGGAGCTTATTCTGGGGGTTGGGAACTATCTTGAGCACCTGCTGACCCTCGACAAACTCTCGGCTGCGTGCCCTGCGGTCGTACCACACCTTCTAGCGCGTCTGGGCCACCCGGAGGTGGTCGCGGGCCACGGCGGCCAGGCGGGTCAGTCGCTCCCGCAGCTCGAGTATGTAGGGGATGACTGGGCTACCAGTGTCCTCTATTTTCCCTTCCCAATGTTCCCGGAGCAGGGACAGGGTCCTTGCACCCTCCGCCCGTATAGCAGTTCAAAGGGGGAAAACCCCATTGACTCCTGTGGTACCACCTGGTATGCAAACAGCAGATGAGGGAGGAGCTTCTCTCAGTCTGCCTCCCCGTCAATGAAGGACCTCAGCATGCTCTTCAGGGTCCCGTTGAAGCGCTCGCAGAGGCCATTGGTTGGGGGTGATAGGTAGTTCTCCGGATCGCCCGCACGTGCGCCATAGGGATTGGACTACATCGGACATAAACTGGGTACCCTGGTCAGTCAGGATTTCGCTGGGGAAGCCTACCCGGGAAAAAACCGTGACCAGAGCCTCCGCCACCTTAGGGGCAGAGATGCTGGACAGGGTGACGGCCTCTGGGTAGCGGGTTGCGTAATCCACTACCGCGAGGATGTTTTCCCCGACCTACTGGGGCGGGCCAGTGGTCCTAGGATGTCTACGACTACCCTCTGAAAGGGCTCTTCAATGATGGGCAAGGGGCAGAGCGGGGCCTTGGGGTGGTCCCTTGGGTGTCCCTTCCTCTGACAGGTGTCACAGGTCTGGCAGAAGTGAGCGACGGACTGTGAGATACCTGGCCAATAAAAGGCTTGGGTTAGTTGCTGCTCCGTCCTCCTCTTCCCTGGGTGGCCAGCTACCGGGATCGCATGGGCGATCTGGAGCAGCGGGAACCTAAACAGTCTGGGCATGACCAGTTGTTTGGGGGCAGCATGAGACTGGCCCGGGCGGCTTGGGCCCGCCCGGCGGTACAGCAGCCCCTGCTCCCAGGTAAGGGTGGTGTCTGGGTTAGGTGGGGGGTCACTCACCTGGTCCATGAAGGGGAAAGGCCCCGTGGTAGTCTTGTCTGTGGGAAGACCTTGACCTACTTGGCTCCTGATCACAGCCCTGATGTACTGGCACTGCAGCTCCCCCAGATCGGGCTGCCGGCTTCTGGAGGGTTCATCCATTCACTGGGGGGTGGAGGCAGGGGCTCTTCTGCGGGGTTCAGCTCCAGGTAGTTGACAGGGCGGTTGAAGCGACGGCCCCTGGAGGTGGGGCAGTTGGCTTGGACGTGCCCCAGCTGGTTGCATCCATAGCAGCGGTGGTCCAGGGGTGGCCCTGTGAACCGGGCTCGGTATGGAGGCCCCACGGGATTTGCTGCAGTGGGCAGGGGGACCGCCTTGGCAGGGGTGGCTGCAGGATTGAGGGGTGGCCGGACGGGTGGCGGGGCCTTTGGCAGCTCGGAGGCCTGTCTTTTCCAATGGGGATTGATGGCAAGGACCTCGTCGGCCAGGGCAGCATCCTTCACAGGGGTGGTAGGGGCTCTTTCTCTTACCCATCCACGCACCTCCACAGGGCATTGAGCGGAAAATTGTTCTTTCAGGAAGGCCTGAATATTTTCCTCTCTGGTGCAGGCCTGCTCCCCTTCTGGCCACCGCCGGCAGGACTGCGACATCTTGTGAGCGTACATTTTGTAGGATGGCTCGGCATGGCAGGTCATAGAAACGCGCCCGGTGTGTCTCTGGGGTTACCGCGTAGTATTCCAACACGGTCTGTGTGACCCACGTGTAATCTCGGTTCTCTTGGGAATCCAGTGTACGGTAGGCTGCGGCTGCACCCCCTTCTAGCAGACCCACGAGTTGCTGTAGCCAATCTGTTTGCGGCACCTTCATGAGTTGGCACAAATGCTCAAAGTCTTGAAAAAAACCCTCCACATCCCCGGTGGCTTCGTTAAAGGGCTTAAAGTCTTTGCGGGGAGGGGGGGAGCCCACGGTCCTGGGGCTGGAGGGAAAACTTAGATTTCGGTGGCTCCCTTGGCTCTTCCTCTCATGGGTCCTCCCGATAGCCTCCCACTTGTCATCTACCGTGGCGTCTGACCCCAGGATGGCCGTCTCCTCTTCCACCCAAGCAAGCCAGGGGCTTTTGGATCCTTGGTTATGGCTTTCGGGGGAGGCCAGGGTTGGTCTGCTCTCCTCCCTTGCTGGAGTGCCTTGGGGGTCAGCCTCCTCAATGGCCGTGACCAGGTTTTCTTTGGCTAAGCCCCTCCAGGTGAGGGACAGCTCCTTGGCCCTCTCCTGCAAACATGACATAGTCTAGTTTCTGTACTCACTGGCCCGAGCCTGGTTCGGCATCAGCTGGCTCTCGTTATCTGCCATCTCTCTTAGTGTTCTGATCCCACTGCTGTCAACTAGTATGTGACTGAGCGTAGGCAGGACAGAACACATAAAGAAGATGGTAAACACACAAAGCTTTATTAAGGAAATTACAGTTACTCAATTGGTGTCTGCAGGTAGCGTGGCAGCACCCAGTCCAGGGGAATAGCAAGGAGAGGGCTCAAAATAAGTGTAATCCATCCCAAGGGGGGGCAAGGTTAGAGTCTCTAGCAATTTGTAATCCAAGTAGGGAGCAAAGGGGGAACAGAGTTCAAGGACAGTCCAGGGGGGATAAACAGGGGTGCATACACTCACGGCTCCGGCAGGGATGCCCGGGTTCACAGCAGTTGACAGTCCAGGGGGCGACCCACCTCAGTACACAACAGAGGGTCCTAACAACAGGTACCAGTCCTGAGTACCAGCATTGTACTCTGTGGGGAATAATCCTCCCAATCTTAGCATCAGCGTCAGCAGTAGTAATAATCCTCCCAAGCGTTGGGTATTGCTGTAGCGTGTCAGTAGTGGGAATAATCCCCTCGATCTCCACCCCAGGGCAGCAGTATTAATAATAATTCCCCCCAGCTCAGGGGCGGCAATAATAGCCCTTTGAGGTCTTTTGACGAGTGCTACCAGAGTCCCGACTCAGTGCAGACTTTCCTGGCAGCTGCACAGCGGTGAAGAAGTCCAAGACTCTCTCCTCAAGCCTCTTAAGGTCTGTCTGGAGCGTCCCTGGTTGCCCTAACAACCGGGGGCAGCGTGCCTCATCGCCCGGCAATGAGGCACGCCCTTTTGACACGGGTCGTGCTTTCGGGAGCGCGGCCTTTGTCCTCTGAGGAGTGCAACCCCCGGGAAAAACTGTACCTAAGCTGTTTGTTGGGTCCGTGCGGCGTCAGTATGGCTGCTGTGGCCTTGGCTCCCTGGGGAGTTGCCCGCCCTCTTCCCCCCCCCCCCCCCCCGGACATGCAGGCTTCTCAGGGACAGGAGAGGGGGGAGTGACGAAAGTCGCACCTCTCCTCCTGGATGGTCCGCATCAAAGGGCTGTGACAGGATGAGGGGGGGGCAGGAGGGGGAAGCTGCAGAGAGGGAGAGAAGCAAGAGACATGCTGCCTAAACACGTGACAGTCAAGAGACAGGCGCCTGCACATTGTGACAGGTGTATATGATGCCCAAGGGGACCGATATCTGAGAACAACTTCCTGAACTATTCACAGATTCTCTCCTCTGTCACAGTCTCTGTTGCAATGCTAGCCAGCAGCTCCAGTTGTACTATCCCAGACCCTAAATGTACTCCTCTTCACCCAGCAATCTGGAGACATTCTTTCTAAGCAGGGGATCTGGCCCCTGTTTCTTTAAATGGGTAACAGTCCCTAGTAGGGGGTTAATCTGGTTTCCCACCAGAGTGCTCCTTCCCCTATCTGCCCAGGGGGTGCAGGTGTATTCACTCAGATCCTTATCGGTACGGCTTGTGGAATGGTTGCTGCTACCAGGTCTATCAGCTGGGCTGCTCCTTCCCTGCCATACAGGTGGTCCTCTCTCAAGGAGCCAATGAGTCCTGAGTTTTCCTCCTTTCCAGCTCCAGGCTCGCAGGCAGGCCCCATCCCACTAGGTGTCCTGGCAGCCTTCTTCCTCCAGCCTCACATCTTCCTGCCCCACACTCCTCTCCTACCACCACACTCCTGCTACTGAGCAGTCTCCACTTTTAAGGGAATCCCAGCCTCTTGCCAAGCCTCCTGCTGGGGATTGGCAGAGGTCCCTCAAGAGTGTAGCCAGCCACTCCTCAGATCCATCCACTGCCTCCAAGACCCTCCTTTGAAAGCCTCAGAGCAGAGGGGAAATTCCAGATGGGCTGGCCTGCAGAGTCTCTCAGTCCTGGACAGAGTTTGACCCCTCTGACTATCTCGCCTGAGCTGTTAATCAGCTCCTCAATAACCACCAGGGTCTAGCTCCCCCTAGCTAAACTAGGAGGGTGCTACAAAATTAATAATCAGTTGCTGCACCTGCAGGGCTCTAATGAAGAAAGTGTCAGGGTGTACATCCCTTTAGACTTATTTCCCCTTTGGGAGTATATAACCAAAAATGACATTTCTATTGGAGGGGATGCCCAAAATCTGACTTGTATGTTAGGCCCCTTTCACATGGGGCGGACCTGTCAGTGGATCCGCTTGCTCAGAAGGGGATCTCTCTTCTGATCCCTGCTGAGAAAGCAGATGACAGGTCCGTCTCTGCTCCTCTGCTGCAGAGTGGACACAGACACCGCCTGTTTGTTTCCAGCTGACTGCCATCCCATCTGATCCAACGGATGGAAGGAAGGGGAATAGATCCCCATCCGTCTTTTTGGCAGATCGAATTGGATGTTGGTGGGTGAAAACAGACACATGCTGCTCCATAGAGTAGAATAGAGGACCCGATCGGAACGCCCATGTGAAAGGGGCCTTAGTGCAGAATTCTCTGAAAATCAGTAAGCCAATCACACAAGCAGGAAATGGGGGCATTCTGTAAACTGTGTACAGAAGGCCTCCAGGTTGCCATATTGAATTGCATTTTACAGAAAATCACAGGGCTACAGATTGAAAAGGAAAGTTAATTTTTAATAGTATTCAATTACAGTATGACTTGTGTCACAATTATACTGTATATGCTATATTTTTATTTGCTTTTTTTCCCACAAAGGTGAAATTACCCTTTTACGAGCTCTTAATACCCCATTACATAGTTTGTGTAAACTACACTCAAATTGAAGCTGCAATATCTATAAAATTTAGGGTTCACACTCATGAGCATAGAAGAGGAGATTTCAGCCAAACAATTCTTACTGGTGTTTAAACATTCTTTTTTTTTTTTAATTTCTGCTTTCTTTTTCCAAGTGAAACAAGAAGATATGCTTCCTACAGGGTTGTTACCTATGCAAAGTGATATAATTGAAGATTATGCTGGGGATGCTATAAAGGAATTACCAATGTTAAGCAGGTAAAACATGTTATTGTTACATATTACATATTTAATGCTCTGTTATGAATACTGTGTTGTTTCCAGGGGCGGACTGACCATTAGAGCACTCGGGCACTGCCCGAGGGTCCGGAGTCAGTAGGGGGCCCCATGAAATGCCCCTGGTACATTTCATTGGCTTTTTCATAGGCTTTTTTGGGTGTGGGCGAGGACACAGGGGCCCCATGATCCCCTATTGCCCGGGGACCCCATGAGTTGTCAGTCCTCCCCTGGTTGTGTCTTTTTTGTGAGGAGTGTGGGGATAATGTTGTGTTAAAATTTATATAAGCCCAATCACTAAAATAATTAGCATGTTATTGTAATTTCAAAAGTAATTTTCAGTAATTCTAATTTTGAAGCTTTCATTAAAATAGTACATGGCAATCCTGTCATGAAAGTCCATGCTTGGGCCCTTCCTGTTATAGAGTGACAGCACCCTCTCCCTGTCTTTCAAGTTTGTCCCTGTGTTGTCACTCTATCACTTAAATTTCCTTTATTCCACATTCTGATGCTCAGTTTGAACTTCATCAAGTCGTCTTCACCACGTCTAGATGCCTAAATGCATTGAGTTACTGCCATGTGATTGGTGTATTAGCAATTTGTGTTGCCAAGCAATTGAACAGGTGTACCTAATAAAGTGGCCAGTGAGTGTATATTTTGACTAGATAAATTTAATGACCTTTTTTTGTTCATGTTCACAAAAATGCTCCATTATTTTATTCTTTATATTTTGTTATAATTTAGCGATGATCCTGTTTTTTCTTCGCTGTTAAGAAAAAAAACATATGATGAACTGAAGCATTGGCATACAGGTCGGCCACTTAGTGACGATTATGACAGGACAAAGAATGAGCAACGTGGTAAGGCGTAAACAGAACAAACTATATAGAGCCATTATATTGATTTCATTACTGATTAGGTAAAATAAATCAATATTCATTGATTAGGTAAATATTAGGTAAATAAATATGTTATTGAGCTAGAATTGCTAAACCAATCAGCCCTCTGCACATTCCCTAAACAGTTTCAGACTTTTGACTTGCTAGACAGGCCCAGAAAAACTCCTGAAAAGTACCTTATGTGTGTCTAGCTATTTCCTGCCCAGCCTATAGTAAAATGACGGCCGGGCGAACCTCTCGTCCCTCCGGTAGGGCATCATTTGACATCCTTCCTGAATCGTGGCTTGCGTGTGCCCGTAGGGCCACGCTGTAGCAAGATCTGTCACCAACTGTGTACCTCGGACACGGCCGATAACAGATCTGTGTACCGGCCCCATTGCCAGTACCATTTGACCTGCTGTGACCAATTCAGCAGGTCACATGAAAGTTGTATACAATGGATGGCTTCCTTTCATTCCATCCATTGTATACAAGTGTGTCTAGCTGTGAATGGTCACAGTGATCACATGCACAGGCTGGGCCAATCACAGCCCATCTGTGTAATGTGATTAGCCGTGGCCAATCACAGCTAATCACAACAAAAAACCTCAATTAATCGATTTCACTTAGTTAAATGCTTGCTTATAGCAAAGAAATTCTTTGCTTTAAGCAATCAAATTGTGTAAAAAAAACAAAATACTGATCACTTCCCCAAAGTAGTACAATGTGCAGGAAGAGCGCTTCCTGCTTCAGTGATCACTGTGACAGCAAATCTCAGTGATCATTCTGTGTAATTTGGTTCTGGTTCACACATATGGGGTACATGTGTAAATCACACATTTCTACACCCAAAACATGCTGCTGAAATAGGCCTGGTTCACACCAGTGCTTTTCACTTTATGCAGAAACACCGTTTAACATGGTTTCCTATGGGACACATTCGCATCTATGTGTTTTTGAAAAGGGTCAGAGACTTTTTTTAAACGCAAAACATTGCATTTTGGTTCAATAAACTTCAATGGAGACACTGCAGAAAAGGTGTGTAGTGCGTTTTTTAATGCTATTTGCAAAACACATTAAAAAAAGTAAAATGCAAAACGCAGTGCAGAAATGAACAAAACACAAACTGCATTGGCGTGAACCAGGCCTTACAGACATACTTCATCTAAAAGGTGTGCAAAAACAATATCTCTGTAGTGATCAATACAAAAATATGTGTGTAAAAAAAAAAAAAGTTAACTCATATTAAACCATAATGAGCAATGTGCATCAAATAAATGGTGAAATAGCAGTCCCATAACAAATAATTCACTTATGAATATAACAATGATGTTAATGTTAACTCTCCTCACTGATATAACTTCAGCTCCCCGCACCCTGCTTTTCAGAGCTGAGAGATCCTGTGTAAATTCTGCACTTTGAATGGATGTAGGAGAAAAATGGATGTAGATAAACAGGTACACCTTATGTAGAAGGATTTGTTTCATCTCTGTGTATCCCCTGAAGCCAGTCACTTCACTGGGTATGTGTGAGGGTTTACAACCACTTTAATCTAATTATAACAGATGTTAAACTCACTGGCCTGCACTGTAGTTGCCAGCTTCTTCAGCTTAACAGCTAGTACAATCAGAAAAGTTCACTAACAGACCTTGCTATTTATGAATTCATTTTATTTTTTCTTTAAATCTCTACTTGCATGGCTAATTATACAGAATAATTTGAAACAAGTTTTTTTGGGCAGATGTTCTGAAAGACAAAAAGGCATTAAAACAATACCAAAAACTCCAGCTACATAATTATCGATATGGGCAGACGTTAGGGGTGAAAACATCAACAAAAATAGCAGTAAAAGATGATCAACCGGATGAGAAAAAGTATGTTCATAAAGCTTCTGCTAAGAAAAAACCACCTCAGGTGAGTACCGTACTGATCACATTATAAATGTCTGTTCACAATTAAAGAGAAACTGTGCATGTCAATTGTATTACACGTATATTTTAAAAAAGGTTTTCAAGATGTGTTATGTCTTTTTTCATTATTTGTATATATATTTTTTTACAAACATTTCTATCAAGTGCCTTTACTGTGTTTGCAGTACATTGTGGGGTTTCTAATAGGAAAGCCCAGCACTGGCTGCATAGTTGACTGCATTCACAGACTGAGGAGGGGGTTAGTCCCTCCTCTCACTGTGTGTTCACATGTGTGTGCCTGTGTTTGTTAAAAATAAATAATATATTAATTAACATAAATAAACAGAATTTTTTTTAGTTCTGAGTAGAATAGAGTTGAATCTTTGATGCTGTAATCATCTAGAGCAGTGGTCTTCAAACTGCGGCCCGGGGGCCGGATTCAGCCCTTTGATTGCTTTTATCTGGCCCTTGGGGCACTCTTTTATCCACTGATGCCAACAATGGGGCATAATGCCTCCCACTAACACCAATTATGGGGCACAATTTCTCCAAATGACACCAATTTTGGACAAAATACCTCCCACTGACAACAACAATGGGGCCCAATTCCTCACAATGATTAACAATGGGGCCCAATGACACCAATGATGGGGCACAATTCCTCCCAATGACACCAAAGAAGGGGCATGGTTTATTCCCACTGATGTCAGGATATTATCTACTCCCGATGGCTACACTCCAGCCCCCCTAAAGTCTGAAGGACAGTAAACTGACCCTTTGTTTAGAAAGTTTGGAGACCCCAGTTCTAGAGGAGCATAGTCAGGAGGCGTTCAAGCTGAACTTCTCTATATAGTGGCTGGGTTCCGGTGTGTGGCGTGTGGCGTTTCCACCTTCTGTCTTCTGATCTATTTCAGCTAGTTTGGATAAGCTTGTTTACATTGGCACCTGATTTGTGCCTTGGACTGCAGGGGAAAGTGCCCGTTTTTTACTTGTAATGGGTGTGCTGCATATCTGCCTTCTCCTCCTCCTCCTCAACCCCCCCCCCCAGACCTCCCCTCTGTCCTCCTCAGACCCATCTCTTCTCCTCCGATCCCCCTCCCTTCTTTAGGCCCTCCTTAGACTTCCCCTTTCTCCTCCTCAGACCCCTTTCTCCTCCTCTGCACATCCTCCGGCTCACACTGCATTTTTTTTCCTCTGTGTCTAGGGCCCAACTAGAGATCCTGCACATGGGCCCAGTGATCTCATAAAACTAAAAATAAAACTTTCTTCATGTATCCTATGTTAAGGTCTGCAGCCAGTAGAACATGCAATATGGATAGAATTACCCATCCTCTCACCCTATAAGACTGATCACATACCTGGAAGGAGACTGAGATGTTCAGGGCGGTCTCCTTTGCTTCTTTAGCTCAAGAGCCCCTGGAAGTGCGAAAAAAACAGTGCTAAGTTGTAGGAGTTCCACGAGTTCTGGATTGAGTTCCTTCATGAATGGATGAAGGTTAAGTCAACACAGTTGGACAGAACCAGCAGGATGTTCAGCAGAAGCCACAGACAGTGATGAATGAAGAATCAGAGTATCAAAGCTGATATAGGCAGGTAGTGGTGTCCCACATAGGAGACAGCAGTCAGATCACACAGCAGGCCAGGATGGACTTCCAGTGTATATTGAAGTACCAAAGTAAAGGTAGTAGCAGGTCAATCATTAAATCGTAGATAGGATAAGGGTAAGAAACATAGTCAAGGTCAGGAACCAGAAGATAAGAAGTCTAAAGGCAGGTCAGAAGCAAAGCTGGGTCTGCAATGGTAAATACACAGCAAGCACAGGTCCAGTCACAGGTAATCTAAGTCAGCACTGACTCTGAGCTAGGGTGTGCTTTAAATAGGCTGTTTGACACCAAGTTAACGCTGGGTATGCTTGTGCATGCTCTGTGAAACACATGCACAAATGTATACATACTTGTATGCAGGAACACATCCATCCACAAGTCTGTGAGCAGTAGACATGTGCAGTTTGTTTCATTCCGAATTGAAATTCGGACAAATTTTCCATTATTCAGAGATTCGGATGTATCCAAATTCTGAATTACAATGGTAACAAATTTAAATGAATCTGAAATAACGAAATATAATTCAATAAAATTGAACAGAAAATAAAGAAATAGAATAGAAAATAAAAGAATAGAGGAAAAAAGAACAGAATAGAAAATAAAAGAATAGAACAGAATACAGTAGAAAATATAGAAATTAAACAGAACAAAATAGAATAGAAACTAAAGGAATGAAAAATAATAGAATTCATTAAAATAGAATAGATTAAAATAAGATTAGAATAGAAAGTCAAAGAATAAAATAGAAAGTAATAGAATCAATTAGAATAGAATAGAAAATATTACAGTAGAAAATCAAAGATAGAATAGAAAAATAATTGAGTAAAACAGAGCAAAATAGAACAGAAATTAAAGGAACAGAATAGAATCAACTAGAATAGAATAGAATAGAAAAGATTAGACTAGAACATAAAAGAATAGAAAACATTAGAATAGAGAATCAAAGAATAGAATAGTATATAAAAACAATATTCACATTTTGAATAGAATGAATTTGAATTTGAACAGAATGCATTAAAATAGAATATAAAATAATAGAAAAGAATAGAATAGATTAGAAAAGACTAAAACACTTTACAAAAAATTGTGAGCTGCGCTATGGTGAAGTGAGTAGTGATTAACAAGGGCACTGTGAAAATTTTGCTGAAATAGAAATTTCCAATATGGTCACGCAACTCTTCATATAGCCTATATACAATCAAAAACACATGGATTGTGGATTAGGGATTGTAACGTTAGAATTATTATCAAAACTGTTAGAATTATTATCGAAACCGTTAGAATTGTTTTCGAATTAGTTCGAAATTTCAAAATTGGTCGAATTCGAATAAATGGCATGAATTTAAAAAACAAATTTAATCGAACAAAACAAAATTAGTCAAATAACAAAAAAAACTATTTTTTTTAATTTTGCACTTGAACAAAACGAAATTAGTCAAATAACAAAAAAAAAAAACTATTTTTTTCATTTTGCACTTGTCTAGTGAGCAGAGCCATGTGCTAGCAAATGGGTGTATGCCAGAGACAGCTGGCTAACAGGTATTCCCAGATATCTGAGTTCCCTGACTTTCTTTCCCTAACCTTTTTAGAACAAAAACAGACCAGAAATCAGACAAACGTAAAGAATAAAGGATGATATAACCATAGCATATCCACCATATTCATAATTCCATACACTAGAGTTCATTAGCCTACCAGACTTAAACAAACATTTAGATTGACTCTAGCCCAGAAGATGAATCTTTTGCAGCTTGTTTGACTACAATCTTGTTTTTTGATTTATTAAGCAGGCTAAACAATAGAAATTCAGCCTATGACTGAACTTGCGATCCTTGAAACACAAGTGAATTTACACTTTTGTTTTCCTGAGATTTTGTCAAAGAATGTTGTTGTGATGGGAGTGACTTTTGGGGGTGGGGGGACTCCTGTATCATCTTCCCAAATTCTTATGTTTAACTCACCCTGTTCCTGTTAAGGGGGCGGGCTGATGATGTGTTTCCTGTAGCCCTTCCCATTGATGTGGCGGGCTGATGATGTGTTTCCTGTTCCTGGCTGTGTTTCCCCGCCCTCTGTATATATATTGTGTTTTGTGTAAAAATAAAGGAGTTGACTTCCTGTCTTATACAGAGTCGGGTGCTGTCTTATTTTCTGCATGATCAGCGGGTGGTGTCCGGGGATTTGTGTTCGGACAGGAAAGCTGCAGTATAATGGAAAATACCCAAGTGCGGTCTGGAGTCCGGTTCCGTTACAGTTGTTTTTTAGCAGTGTTAGCAAAAGAACTTATGCGCTGCCACTGGCTTGTCCTATAAATATTGCTACCACCTACATCTGCTGTGTTCCCACACCTATAAAGGAAAAGTACACTAATTAAGTGCAGCACTGGCCTTAACACTAAATATGAGTGAACAAAATAAATAATGTAATCTCAAACAGATAAGTGATGTTACCTCCAGTACGTGAGATTGATTGCTTTTAGCTTACTACATATTTTTCTAGTGACATGCTGGTCTTTATATATGTGAAATTGAGTGAAATTCCTTTAAAAATATAGCATTACTTTATTTTAAATTATATTGCACCATTTGCAATCTCTCATTTTTTGGAGTGTTGCCTCTGTATGTGGAGGGAGGAACAGGATCTCTTAAAGGGCCCTACACATGCCATCTCTTACCTCCAGTGTGCATCCTGAAAGACGCAAGTACCGCCAGTGATCCCTGAGCTGAGGATTTAGCACATGAGACTTATGTATATATTATATAGGTCCACTCCTAAAGGTGAGCAAATAAGATGCACAGTGGTGGAACCCAGGGCCGGTGCTTCTACTAGGCAAAATAGGCCGCTGCCTAGGGCGCACTGCCACCTAGGGGCACCTGGGCGAAGCACAGGCCGGAACTCCATGTGGGACACAGGCACATCATGCATAATCCTCCAGCTGAGAGGAGGGACTGCAGAGGGGAGGAAGAAAGGACAGAGGAAGATGCTGAGTGTCTGGGACCAGTGTAGCAGCTGAGCTGCCAATCCTTCCAGTGGTCCTCTCAGACTCAGTCTCTTTTTTCAACACACTGCTATTATTTTGAACACAACTGTATATATATTTGCTTGAGATTATACTATATATTTTTTCACTCACATACAGTCTTAGTGGCAGTACTGCACTTAATCATTGTGTAAGTTTTTAGCAAATGAAAGAGTGAAGGCCAACAAGGTGAAAAGTAATTGCAAAAGGTTATCTATAGGCGTGTGCAAGGGGTGTGTCGAGTGTGCTTGGCACACCCTAATTCAGGGGTCGGCAACACATCGATTTTGATCTACTCATCAATCACAGGCTGTGATGGGTAGACCATGATCCTTCCTTACCAACCCCTAGAACCTGGACAGGAGGGGCAGCATTTACTGGAACTGTTCTGTATTTTCCTCCTGCAGCAGCTGAAAGATGGCTTCTCCTACATTATTATTATTATTATTATACAGTGTTTATATAGCGCCAAAATGTTTGCTCAGCGCTGTACAATATAGTGGGGGACAGTACATGAGACAATACAGTAACAAAACAATATACGAGAGGTTCGAGGGCCCTGCTCTTTCAAGCTCACAATCTAGGAGGGAGGGGATATTGGTACAGGAGGAAGTGGCTGTGGGGGATGGAGTGGTAGGAGGAGTGGAGGCGATCGGCTGGTAGGTGATGGTGGGGTAGGCTTCCCTGAAGAGATGGGTTTTCAGGGTGCGCCTAAAGATGAGGAGGGTAGGTGACAGTCTGATGGATTGGGGTAGTAAGTTCCACAGGATGGGGTAAGTCCTGGAGAAGTCCTGCAGTCGGGTGGGTGAGGAGGAGACCAGGGAGCTAGAAAGTAGGAGGTCTTGTGAGGAGCGAAGAGTACGGGTTGGGTGGTATTTGGGTATCAGATCGGTGAGGTAGTTTGGGGCAGTGTTATGAATTGCTTTCTATGTCAGTAGTTTGAATTTAATGCGTTGGGCAATCAGAAGCCAATGGAGGGAATGACAGAAGGGGGTGGCAGAAGAGGAGCAGTTGGTAAGGTGGATGAGTCTGGCCGCTGAGTTCAGGAGATAGATTGAAGCAGGGATAGTCTGTGATGAGGTAGGCCGGTGAGGAGGGAGTTGCAGTAGTCGAGTCGTGAGATAATAAGGGAGTAAATGAGTTGTTTAGTAGTGTCTGGGGTTAGGAACGTACGTATTTTGGAGAGGTTGTAGAGGTGGAGCCTGCATGAGTTAGCCAGCGATTGGACATGGGGTTGGAAGGACAGATTTGAGTCTAGAGTGACACCTAGGACTTTGGCTTGCGGGGTGGGGCTGATGGTGGCGTTGTTGGTCGTGATGGAGAGGGTGGGGGCGCAGGCTGGGGGTAAAATTAGGAGCTCGGTTTTGGAAAGGTTTAACTTGAGGAAGTGGAGTGACATCCAGTCTGATATGTCGTTCAGTAGGCAGGTTATTCGGGAGGAGACTGAAAGGGTGAGGCGAGGGGTAGAGAGGTAGATTTGTGTGTAGTTGAAGCCGTGGGAGTGTATCAGTTGGCCAAGGGAGGAGGTGTAGATGGAGAAGGAGCCCGAGGACAGAGCCTTGGGGGACCCCAACAGAGAGGGGGAGGTGGTAGCATTATAGGTAACACTGAAGGTGCACTTGGATAGATAGGAGGAGAGCCAGGAGAGAACGGAGTCTCTGATGCCAAGGGAGTATAGTTTATTAAGGAGGAGGGGGTGGTCAACTGTGTCAAAGGCCGCGGAGAGGTCAAGGAGTAGGAGGACTGAGTAGTGGCCATTAGCTTTGGTGGTTAGCAGATCATTAGTGATTTTGAGTAGGCGGCGGTTTCGGTGGAGTGTAGGAGATGGAAGCCAAACTGTAGTGGATCAAGGAGGTTGTTGTCATTGAGGTGGGAGCTTAGGCGATTGTAGACTAAGCGCTCGAGGGGTTTGGATGAGAATGGCAGCAGGGACATTCCTTCCTGCTGTCATTCAGCTCCCACAGGACCACAATACAGGAGATTGGTATAATTTATATGCCACCTCCACCACCCCTCCTGTTCCTATTCCTCTTATTTCTGCGGCCCCTTCCTTTTCTGAATGAACACAGTGAGCGATTGTTACTTAATCACTCATGATCACTCACTATGTTCATTCATAACTGAAGCATGGTAAACTGTTTGCTATGCTTCAGTTTTGTGAATGAACAGGAAGCTGCAGAGCACAGGGCACTTTCAATTCAATCATCTGTCCAATACAGCTGATGTTGCAGAGGAAGGATCTGGGGAATCTCTGTCCTCAGCCCCTTTCTCTGTCTCAAAAGGGAGACATCAGGAGTCTATTTTTGACCCCTGATATTTCACCAAAGCCCACAGGGCTCCTAAAAAAAATGACATTGTAAAATAATAATAAAAATAATATTGTAAAAAAATAAATAAATAATAAAAATGGAAAACTACTGACACCATCCAATGCTCTACTGATATTGTCCACTGCTCTACTGGCTAATTTCACTGTCCTACTGAAACTAACCTCTGCCCTACTGACACGTCCACTGCTCCACTGACTGACACTATCCACTCTCATTATCCACTCTCATACTAGCACCAACCTCTAACCTACTGACATGCCCACTGCTCTACTGACACCAGTCATTGCCCTACTGACACTGTCAATGTTTTTATACATTTTAAAATGTTTGTTTATATGATGAGGAGGGAACTCAAGAGCCAGACTCTCTGCAAAATATAATATGCCAGTATTTGATTAACGACTGATGAATTCACCCATTCTTTTATCTCAGATGAAAAAAAAGGACCAAATAAAAGAAGAGAACCTAAGAAAAAGAGAAATCATTAAAGAAAACAAAGAGCAAGAGAAATGGAACAACTTGACATCATCTTTAAAAAAACAACTCGGGGGAAATTTTAGCTCTGGAATATCACAGTTGGAAAAATCTATGAATTCTTTGCAGACACATACAGTCAGATATCGTGCACAGTTAGATGCACTAACCATGTGTTTTGAAATATGGATTGAACACTACAAAACTGTGTGTACGTATTATATGGTATAGTATTTACTGTAAAGTAATTGATAAAATATACAAAACTGACAATAATATTACATGATTAGTAGTCCATAATTTAAACCAGCATTTCTGAATGAAGGCTGTAGGGGCATAAATAAATAATTTATATGTCTATGGCTATGCATTCTCAGATGCTTGTGCTTTCTGTACTGTCTCACTTTCCTCTTTATTTCATTTGTTCCCAGATGAAAAGCAAAAAATAATCTGTATGTAGGCTCCAAGCCGACATGGTTTAAGCTTGAATGAATCTAACAAATCTTTTCCCCTGCCCCTGCATAAAAGTGGTGGCTTTTCAAGCACCCAGCACTGCAATGTGGGAGGAACACATGCAGGGCCGAATGGGGTATGCAAAAGGGACAGGAAAATGAACAGAAAAATGTGTACACATATCAGTCATAACATTTTGACCACCCACCATAACATTATGACCACTTATCTAATATTGAGTAAGTCGCCCTTTTGCTGCCAAAACAGCCTTACCTGTTGATGCACAACTATTTCCTGAAGGTATGTTGTGGTATCTATAATAGCAAAAAATAGAGAAATCCTCCTGCGCTCCACACTTTACAAACCCCTAATCACCGTGCCAGCTGCTATCACCTATTCCCTATACCACAGGATACATCAAAATAACCAACAAATGGTGAAGCGCTAAGCAAATGTAGATGTCCAAAGTGCAATATAAATAAATAAATGCTTTATATATACTGTAACAAACTATAGGTAAATTAATATTTTACTAAAAACAAAATCCATATGATCTTAAAAACATGTGCAATGTGGAATAGAAAATAAATAAATAAATAATACTAATTGAAATAAAATAAAACACTCCGGTGATTAATATGAAATATCCAATAAAACCACAATCTAGTGAACAACTGTGATATGACAAGCAATCAATAATAATCAAAGTGATACGTGCTTAACATAAATATAATAAATAAAGCAATCTGTAAAGTGCAAAGACAAATGCCTGATCTGCCAACCTTGTGGCTAACCAGACTAATGCAGTGAAGGAAAAGAGTGATACCCACCACTCTATGTATATCAAAGTGGCAAGTGCTCAAAACACAATACAAATAAATAAATAAAATGCAGTCCACAATATGGTGATAATAAATTTGTGCAAATTATGAATGTGCCCAATATAACACAAAGTGCTTCACTTCTTCATTCCAAAATAAGATAAGTGCTCTTGGTGACACTATTGTGACTATCCTTAGATAGCTAGAGTGCCTCCTCATCTCCTAGCCTCGACCCCTAGGGGCAAAAGCTCGTTATATATCCCACACCTGGAGGAATCTCATAACCTGGCTCCACTGGCTCCTCTGGCTCCACCAGGGTTCCACTCAAGGGCTGGCGTATCTCTAATTTAGCACTCCACGCAATAGGACTCAGGCATAATGGATGTATATGGAGGAATAAACAAAGAAGACCTCCAATAGTGCAATACCGTTTAATAGATAAGATAAAACGCCAAACAAATGGACACTCACGTTACATCCAGTACACTTCTGCGGTTTCCCATGTGCTATGGGTGTACTAGGGGATAAGGGTGTACCAAGATGGAGTCGGACAGGAACCGGAAATGCGTCTCCAGTCCATTTCTGATGCTTACATGCCCAGTGGCGACCTGCAGGCATTTATGACTGTGGACATTGATCAGCATGGGTACCCTGACCAGTCTGCAAATACGCAGTCCCATACAGAGCATACTGTGATGCACTGTGTGTTATGGCACCTTTCTATTAGAACCAGAATTAACTTGTTCATCAATTTGAGCCACAGTATTTCCTCTATTGGATTGGAAATTCACAACCCAGCTTTCTCTCCCCACCTACAGTTAGCTCCATTTATATTTTGACACAGGCACAATTTTAGTTTTTTTTCAGGTATTTACCAAAACATATTCAAGCTATAGTTATAAAATGGATATGGGCTGAAAGTGTACACTCTCAGGTTCAATTTGAGGGTATGTACATCCAAATTGGAGGAAGGGTTTAGGAATTACAGCTTTTAAGAGTAGCCATCCCTCCTTTTTCAAGTGACCAAAAGTAATTGGACAATTGAATTAAAAGCTGTTTCATGGCCAGGTATGGGCTACTACTTCATTATTTCTTCATCAATTAAGCAGGTGAAAGGTCTGGAGTTGATTCTAAGTGTGGTATTTGCATTTGGAATCTATTGCTGTGAGCCTACATCCTGCGCTCAAAGGAGCTGTCCATGCAAGTGAAACAGGCCATTGTAAGGCTTCAAAAACAAAAGAAATCCATCAGAGAGATATCAGCAACATTAGGAGTGGCCAAATCAACAGTTTGGTACATTCTGAGGAAAAAAACACACTGGTGAGCTCAGCAACATAAAAAGGCATGGACGTCCACAGAAGACAACAGTGGTGGATAATCGCAGGATCTTCTCTAGAAAAACCCATTCAAAACATCCAGACAAGTGAAGGACACTCTGCAGGAAGTGGGCGTATCATTGTCAAAGTCTACAATCAAGAGAAGACTTCACGAGAGCAAGTACAGATGGTTCACCACAAGGTGCATAAGCCTGAAGAATAGAAATGCCAGATTAGACTTTGTTTTAGACACAAAAAAACTAAAAAAGCCAGACCAGTTCTAGAAAAGCATTCTTTGGACGGATGAAGCTAAGATTAAACTGTACCAGAATGACTGGAAGAAAAAAGTGTGGAGAAGGCTTGGAACAGCTCATGCTCATGAGCACACAACGTCATCTGTAAAACATGGTGGAGGTAGTGTGATGGCATGGGCATGCATGGATTCCAGTGGCACTGGGTCGTTGGTTTTTATTGACGATGTGACAGAAGCTGCCAGATGAATTCTGCAGTGTTTAGAGATATACTGTCAGCCCAGATTGAGCCAAATGCAACAAAGTTGATTGGATGGCACTTCACAGTACAGATGGACAGTGATCCAAAACACACTGCAAAAGCAACCCAGGAGCTTTTGAAGGAAAATAAGTGGAATATCCTGCAATAGCCGAGTCAATCACCTTATCTCAACCCAATTGAGCATGCATTTCACTTGCTGAAGGCAAAACCAAAAGCAGAAAGACCCACAAACAAAGAACAACTGAAGACAGCTGCAGTTAGAGCCTGGCAAAGCATCAGAAAGGAGGAAACCCAGTTTTTAGTAATGTCCATGGGTTCCAGACTTCAGGCAGTCATTGCCAGTAAAGGATTCTCAACAAAATATTAAAAATGAACATTTTATTTATGATTATATTTATTTGTCCAATTACATTTGAGCCCCTGAAAATGGAAGGACTGTGTATAAAAATAGTTGCAGTTCCTAAAATTTGTACTTGATATTTATGTTCAAACCCTTGAACTAAAGCTGAAAGTCTGCACTTCAAATTAATTTGGATTGTTTCATTTTAATTTATTCTGGTGGCATACAGAGCCAAAAGTATGAAAATCAGGCCTGTGTCCAAATATATATGGACCTAACTGTACATCAATGAGCCTTGGTCCCCATGACCCTGTTGCTGTTTCACTGATTTTCCTTCTTGGGACCATGTTTGGTAGGTGCTGACGAACAGCGAAGAAAAGCGGCAGTTTTGAAGATGCTCTGACCCAGTTGTCCAGCCATTACAATTGGGCCCATGTCAAAGTTGCTCAAATCCTTACAGTTGCCTATTTTTTTTTTTTTACTTTCAACACATCAACTTCAAGGACAACATGTTCACTTGCTGCCTAATATATCCCACCCACTTTCAGATGCCATTGCAATTAGTTAATCAATGTTATTTGTTCTACCTGTAAGTGATTATAATGTTATGGTTGATTGATATGGTTGGCAGCACTAGGGTCAATGGTTCGAATCCCAACCACAGCACTAACTGCATGAAGTTTGTATGTTCTCCCTGTGCTTGTGTGAGTTTCCTCCAGGTACTCTAGTTTCCGCCCACACTCTAAAAACATGCTGGTAGGTAACTGTCAAAATTGGTCCTAGTATGTGAGTTAGGGACCTTAGATTGTACATTTCATGCAGGCTAGGGAGTAATGTGACTATACATTATATGTAAAATGCTGTGTAAATTGATATACAGTAGGTTCCTGTATTAAATAATAAGCAGCAAGTGGGAAGATAGACAGTTAGGTGGACATTTTTCTTTGGCCTCATTTTAAACAAAGAGCCATTCTGTTTGTTCAAAATTTTAAACTTTTTCCAGTGCAGGATTTTACGGTTTCTTCTAGCACACCCACCTTACTGTAACCTTTGGGGCTTGCTCCTGGATTGTGCTAAGCCCTGTATTTTTCTGCACTAGAAAAATACAGGTATCTGCAAGGGCACTCAGAAAACAACTGTTTTATGTGTACCATGTTCACATAAGAATGCAGCCTTCAGGTGAGCTGCAGTACAGTGCAGAAATCTGCAACTCTCTGATTACAGAAAAAAGTAAAAATATTTATGTATGCAAATTAGTTATGCAATTGAAGCAGAGCTCCACCCAAAAGGGGACGTTCCGCTATAAGGGCGTGTCCCCCCACTCCCTTTTAAGAATCGGCACCTTTGGAAAGAGGGAGTGAGGCGGGTACCCGATTTTGACAGGTGCCTGCTTTCACTTCTGCTCCGACCACCTAGGTGATCAGAAACGGAAGGCCCCCCCCAATCCCCTACCAACCCCGGCAGTCTTCTGGGACACATGACAGGTTTCAGAAGACTGCAGGACCATTCAAAATGCGCAGGGCTGCTAACGCACGCACAGTGGGCACCTGGCTGTGAATCCAAAAGCTGTCACAGCTGGATGCCCACACTTAAGATGCTGATGGCAGGGACAGAGTATGGCTGGTGAACCAGGCTGTGGTGAGTACACCGCTAAATCAAGAGATAGGTAAGTGGCTGTTTTTTAAAAGTCAGCAGCTACAGTTTTTGTACCTGCTGCCTTTTATTTTTTTCACAGGAGACTGGAGGTCTGCTCTAACTATGCTAACTGTGACCTGGGCAGTTGTCTTTGTTTATTTATATATCTTTAAATATATATATATATATATATACAGGTCCTTGAGATTAGACTACCTTTATATGTATAATATTCTTGTTTCTTTGTTACAGCTGAAGATAAGAGAGATATGAATATTGCAGTGGAAATTATGAAGACTATACAGTCTATCATGGCTAATTACAAAGATCGTTTACAAGGGGTAGATAAACACAGGATAGCTACTTATCTTAGCCAACTGGGTTTTCAGAACCTGTCCTGTTCATTGAAGGATACTGAGGTATTGGTGGTTTATTTTCTTATGGTGATTCAAAACACTTCTGAATCAAGTAAAATGCTGGATGCCTGGATCTAAGTTGAATAAGACAACACAGGGCTTTTTTCAGCGGGAACACAGTTCCGGCACCTCCACTACTGAATGTATGTAATAGCAATGTGTGTTGCTGGCTGCTGGTAGATCTGTTTCCACTCCTCAATGGCAAGGGGTGCTGTAGGATTTATTGCTGGCTGCTGGAGGATCTATGTTTGTGTGGTGGTCTATTGTTGCTGTGGAGGTCTATTGTTGCTGGCGTGGGATCTATTGTTGATGGGAGTCAATTGTTGCTGGAAGGGATCTACTGTTGGGATGTATCATTTTGGGAGATCTGTTGTAGCTGCTGGGGTTTGTTGTTGCTGGGGTGGTATTTTGTTTTGGGGGTCCATTATTGCTGGAGGAATCTTGTTGTTGGGGGGGGGGGTGTCTATTGTTGCTGGCTGCAATAGATCTATTTTCTGCTTTTCTTGTTGTTAACACATTTCATACAAATTAATCAGCACCATGAAATGATACATGGCTCTGTATTCTCTAAAAGGAGCAGTACTGGGATGTGAGTATGGGGGGGGCGGAGACAAGAAGTTACTCAGAATGGGGAGTTCCTGCACCTAATTTTTGGCTTTTGTGTTTAAGTGATAGCTCATCTCTCAGTGGATCTGATCTCCTGAGCAGATCCCATTGAGTGCATGACAGGGACAAGAGAGATGCAGGTGCCCGGGGTGCAGTTTGGATGCTAACACCCCCACTGGATGACCTCCCTTCAAGTGAGAGAGGTGGACATACATACAGTGTGTGTGGAGGTACTGGAGCTGGCTAGGTGACATGGTGGACCTTTTAAGGGGGAAAGGAGGATGGAGGCAATGGAGGAGGGGGGGGGGGGTTGTGTGCAGAAGTCTGAGCTGAAGAGGAGTGAAAGTGAGATGTAGATGAGAGATGCAGAGGTAAACAGCTGTGGAAGAATACTGAACTCTGCACTGAGTGTATAGCGCACCCCTGTACTCTATACTCTGTATGCAGTGCACCCCTGAACTCTGCACTATATACGTAATGCACTCCTGGTATTTAATGCTCCTTTAAGACCCTCCCACTGTTAGTGAAATTTGACCACACCCAGTATTTGATGTGGTTTGGAGGGTGTGTGTGGGGGGGGGGGGTTTTTGGGGGTCGTGGTTGAGTTCCTGCACCTATGTTCTAAGAAAATGTTTTATTCATGCAATGATACGACTGCAAATTGTCTTGTTTTACTAACATAGGGCTTATTGGGGCTGCAAACTTTCTGGCAAATGCTACAGCAGCACATTTTAAACATTATGACACTAACTTTGCTTTATTTAACGAGTTGTCTTGTGTTTTTGTGTGTGTGTGTGCGTGCACGTAAAAGTTCTTTTAGCTATTCTTGGGTTGTGTCATAAAGCATGCGTGTTTGTATGCATGTATGAACGTAAAATACTGTCCAACAACATACAGTTTTGTAGTTTTCTTTTTTACTGATTTATTTGAATCACAAATGTATGTGCCCATTAAAAACAGTGGCCCGCATTTAGATCAGTAAAAAAAAAAAAATGCCTGAATGCTTAAAAATGCTGCGTGTTTAGGCATCGATATGCAAGGGGCATTTAAGAGGGTTTGTTGTGCTGTGTGGTTATACGAATGCATTGTATATCAGGCTAATAACACATTTAAAGATTTGCTTTTATCATCTAAATCTTGATAAAGTGACTCACTTCGATTAGCAGACTATTAAATACTACAAAACATGCAAACAACTTTACAGGTACCAAGCAAAGAAGGTAAAAAACATAGTTATGGACTTGGAGTTGGTTCGGCTCGTTTTCAGTTGAAATACATGGGACCATACTTGCAGAGAGATGTGAGGAAAGACCCTGACCTGAGAGTGCAGCATTTCATACCAGATACATGGCAGGTAACAAATGAACTTCAAGGTTAAAAGCAATATACACAACTACACAAAAACAGCACCTATATTTTCATAAAACAAACAGGCATCAGCTCAAAAGATGCCATGACCAACATCAGAAACAGTGATATAACACTTGAACCTCAACCAGTAATGGTAGCATGGAAAATGTTCTAAAACCCTTGCAAACTTTAAAGTGTTATTAAATCCAAAACCAGCTTATCATTTCTTAGATATGATGGCTGCATTAGTTTTCTTTATTCAGCTTTTCAGGTTTTACATAAATAAAAGCTGATCATTGTAAGCACCCCTGACAGTGTTAAATGGTTTGACTTAACTCTCTAACTGCTACAGCTGTAAGACAGCTTGTTCTGTCGAAAACAAAAGACTTATGCAGGCCATAGACGGGTCGAAAATTGGTCGATTTTGAAAGAAAAAAAAAACGAAAAATCGGTCGTTCGGTCGGCTGACGTTACCACCAATGGTAAAAAAAATCGCCCAACAAAATCATGAAGCTCACCCCATAACTTCTGTCCCTTGCAGGTCACGGCTCATGCGATCGGCCGATTTGCCCATCATTGCCGGGAAAATCGGCCAATCGTCAAAATCGGCCGCAAATTTTCCAACATGACCGTTAAAAAAAATGTGCAAAAAACCCGAAAAACGGCCAGCCAATTACCCCACTAACAGTGAGAAAATGGGACGTTTTTTTTTTTTTTCGGCTGAAAAATCGGCCGATTTTTGACCCGTCTATGGCCAGCATTATTGACCAGATCACCAGGTGAAAATAAAGGAAAGAAAGCCTAAAAATTCAGATACAATTTTCACTCCTGTTCAGGTGTTCCAGTGTCATACACTTTAAAATTTCACACCTGAACTGCTGAACAAAATTGCACCAAACTCTTTTTACAAATCGCACATAAACCGGACCCGTGCATATGTGAACCTGGTCTTACATAGCACAGCCAGGTTGATGACCTAATTACATATAGACAAAATAACTTGTCACTTGCACACTCCCAGGTTATCTATTGCTAACAGGGGGTTTCTTTTCCAATGCTGTTGTTCTGGGTGTTACATAAGGCTGCTACCAGGTCAAGTCAAGATACTTTGCACTGGCACTTTAGGTGATATGAAAACTGCATTTCATGAAGGATTCAGAGGTGCAGTAATCTGAGATTTTACAAAGGTGCATTAGTAGATAAATTGAATATATGGCGCTTGAATGATGTACAAGATATTGCATTGCAGAGAAAAATAAATAACATATCTACAATAAAGACTACAAATGAGTGATGGAATTCAGTAAATTAATTTATTGTGGAGCATATTTTACTGTATTACAATACATACATGACCTTTATAATGAATATTTGTGTCTGCTGTCAGAGGGAACTCCTTGATGTGGTGGACAATAATGAATCTGCAGTGATAGTGGCTCCCACCTCTTCCGGAAAAACCTACGCCTCTTACTATTGCATGGAGAAGGTGCTAAAACAAAGCAATGACTCAGTTGTGGTTTATGTTGCTCCTACCAAGGTAAGGTAATGTCCTTTGGAGAGCCTTGAATAATATTTAATGTAAAACCAAAAAACTTAAGCTGACCATAGATAGATTCAAATTCGTCCAGTTCAGCAGGGACCGGCCGAATTGCGATCTGTTTGTGGTCCTCTCTGTTTGACAGAAGTCCATCGTTAGATCGACTTCTGTCAAACGGACAAGCTGAAAACCGTTTGTCGATTTGCCAATTGGCTGCAGCTTCTGCTCAGTGTATTCTGACAGCGTTAAGTGCCGGTTCACATTGATGCGAAATCTATGTGGATCAAATGCGATCTGGAAAGCATAGATTCGCACGTTATCTACAAAAGCATTATTTCCAATGCAGGCTGTTCACATATGTATGTGGTGCAAATTCGATTCGGTCCAAAAAAGGGTCCTGTGCAAGTTTAGTGTGGGTGTGGTGCGAATTTCATCTCCTGCTATGCCCTGTCCCCTCCAAAATCGCATTCAATTTGCACCTGTCACAGCAGAAATCACACTGCATCAGATTTGCACCTCATCAGTGTGAACCAGCACTAAGTCCTCCTGTCAGAATACAACATCCCAACATATGGGATTGCTCCATCCACCTTGTTTTGTGTGAATGGAGGAATCTGTTTTGGTTTTTTTTTTTTTCATCTTGCTGACTGAGAAAAAAAAATATATCATCTATGGCCAGCTTTAGAATCCATAACCTTAACATTCTGCAAATCATATTCCACTCTTTTGTATTTACATGTTTATAGATCTTGTTTATGTCTAATATCTATAGACTTTAGACTAGAGGTTGCATAATCCTAAATAACTGTTCCTTTCTATATAATAGGCTCTTGTAAATCAGGTTGTAGCCACTGTAAAAAGTATGTTCGACAAAGATCTACCAACTGGAATGGTATTATGTGGAGTTTTCACAAGGGATTATCGCACTGATGCATTAAATTGTCAGGTGTGTATTGTTCATTCCTGCTTATAACTGATTTAACATAAATTAACTGATTTCTAATGAAAAGGTAAAACTTGTTTTCCTTAGCTTTGGATGAAATAGGTAAGGTTTAGAGCTTTTATCATATTTTTATTGGTGTCTGTGCTCCTGCTAAGGAGATTTACCCATTAATCTGCACGTGGGGTACCTTTCGCTGTTAATGCACTCATCATTGCCCAGGACCAGGGGGGTACTGCGGTCATGTAAGCCTCAAAAGGCAGTTCCCAAGTTAGAGATGAACCACCTCCACTGTGTGCAGTACTAAAAGTACAGAGTTCCTTTGCAAAATGCTATCCCGTGTCACTACACACCTTATCTTGATGTATATTACATTTAGGAGGGACAGCGCTGAGCCAGTGTCTTCTCCACCAGGCCAGCATACCTCTGCCACCACACTCCCGGTGACAGAATGGGGTCCTGCTGTGCACTTAGCATGGACATCATGCGTGCCCTTGTTAACTCCTTTCTTGCTGTACCATGTGACCAGGATATGGGTCACCATAACACCTCTTGGTTGCTTCTGGAAACCAAGGGAAGGGAGCTAGATCACCAACTCCTTTGCTACAGGAGGCCCCTTCACTTATACCAGGTACCACGCTTAATGACTACCTGCAATGTACAATAGTCCTTGGTTACCCATAGCAACTGCATTATTCCTGCTGCTTGACTTGCTGGGTAGACTTTTGGTAGTGCCTTTGCTTCATACTCCATATGTGCTTTATTGACCCTAGTCCTTTAATATGCCTGGAAACCATCATGCACCCTTTTAAAGAACTTCAGACCAGGCTTAGAACAGTTGATGCAATGTTTACAGTACAGCCCAACATGAACAGTGATCTTAGAATGTCCCTGACTATCTCTAGCAGGTTGCCCAGGCATATCTCCATGAGGTCCATGTTTGGTGCTCTCCAGAAGCTGATCCATCTCTGGACTACCAGTGCCTCAAACAGACTGCAAGGCACAGCAGTCCACCTTTTCAGCACTCATATCATTTGTTTCCTGCTTGGGTCAAAGCTCCAGAACCCAGCCTTCCTCTTTATTTATATTACAGAAGGGTAGGCTGGATCCAAAAAGCAGCCTGCAACCTGCCTACACACACTGAAAGAGAAATACTCAGTCTACTTTAATACAACAAAAAATGTAATAATATTGCAGAACAAAACACAAGCTGAATTTGTCATATTGCCAGTACCTTAAATTAGAAGAATATTTATATAAAATGCACACATTGAATTAATGTTAAAGAAGTTTTTCTGCTTTCTGAGAGAAAATGAAACCCCATAATATTTGGCCCTTTCTGGTGATCACCAATGACAACCTGCTTGGAAACCAACATCCTTTAGAACTAGTCAGAGGGATACATGATTTTGCTGTGGTCAATGGTATTCCCCCTCTGAAAAGCATTGCTGGTCAATGGTATATATCCAACCTCTCACCCCCAAAAGCATTAGTGGTCAGTGGTATTCCTCCTCTCTCCCCCCTGAAAAGCATTTGTTATCATTGGTATTTCTCCTCCCGCCTTAAAAAACATTGGTAGTTGTGACGATCATCGTGGCGTCAGACTGTCAAGGTCCTACCTTTCCTCAGAGTTTGTGCATCTCCATGTGCTGGCATCCATCTTAGGTTTCTGCAAAGCATGGTGGGAACCTTTATGCCTTCAGGCTTCTGCGGCTCCTCCTCAGAAGGATGTGGTTGATCACATTTAAGCCTGCTGTCTGCAAGTACTCTCTGCATTCATGTCCTGTATGTTCCCTTGTCGCAAGCTCTTTGTCAGGAATGGACTTGCCAATAGTGGTGGGACTCACCTGCCTTGTGGGCTGCAGTACCAGGGCTGGCCAGCGGGTGCTCTCAACAACCAGAGGTTCACTTCGGCAATTAGCCATCACCTGGGGCTGATTGCAGGTGGTGTATTTAAGGGATGGCCAGACCTGCAGTCTGTGCCTTGGTGTGTGTTTTTCCATGGGCCCCTGTATCTTGTACCTGCATTCCTGTTCCTGTTCCTGCCTGACTTGTTGCCGACCCTGCCTGATCCTGACCTCTGCTGACTTCTCCTGTTTGATCCCTGGCTTGTGACCCTGACCATTCTCTCCGCCTGCTCCTCCTGTACCTACCTGCCCGATAGTTATCGACCTGGCCTGCCTGACTACGTTGTGCTCTATATGTGTATGTACCTGTGTATCTATATCAGTTTAGGTTTGGGTTTGTTTCATCTTGTTGTATGTATTTGTGTTAGCTTGGGGTTTGGTGCACTGCGTTTATATTTGTATTGTTAGTCTCAATAAATTATATTATTTACTATATCTGAAGCCTACTTTTCCCTGTGTCAGTCCACACACTTCTGGTCACACCCGCATCCCTGACTCTCTTGTTCTGTTCTCGTTGCTCTCCTGGTAACCGACTCGGCTTGGACAAGACTATTCGCTGCTTTAACCCTTTACCTAACCTCCCGTTGCTGAACCCGGCCCGTGACCTGAGTATTCTTTGCCTACCGTCTTGTACTGTCTGCTCTGTTGTTATTGACCCGGCCTGTCTGACTACGCTACATGTGTTCCCATCTAGCTCCCACCAGCTGTACGCCATTGGTGGCAGTCGTTACCGCACCTGGGGTTACTCGGGGGGGCCGCGACCTGGTCTCAGGCTGCGTCAAGTCCATCCCCAGCATCAGGGGCCCTGGTGAAGGGTAGCCTGGGGCTTAGACTCCGCACCCTGAGGGACTCTGGTCTGTGGGTAGTGGCTGTCATCAGTCGCTGCGTGATCTTACCATAGGCCTGCCTGCCTGTCAGGGATCGCGGCTCCGGAATCAGGGATCGCGGCGTCTTCCCCCGCGCATGCGCAGTGGCGGCAGATCACGCCGGGACACAGGCACTAGGTCCCGGCGAGCCGCGGCTGACAGGATGCCGCGCATGCGCAGTAGGAGCCGCGGGCGCGCCTCAGGCGTCCAATGACAGCCGGGGGCGCGTCCTAGCCGGCCAATGACAGTGCAGGGCGCACTATTTAAAGATGCCCTGCACTGTCACAGATTGCCGCAAGGTCTATCTGTGATCCTGAGTTCCTGTACCCGTTCTAGTGACCCTGATTGACCCTGACTACGCTGCCTTCTCCTGTGATTGACCCGGATTGCCCTGACTACGCTGCCTTCTCCTGTGATTGACCCGGATTGCCCTGACTACTCTGCCTTCTCCTATTCTGACCCCTGGCTTGCCTGACCATTCTACGGACTGACTACCCTGCTGATCCTGCGTGTGACCTGACTACTCTTTGCCCGCCGATTCGGTACCCCGCTGACCCCCACGTGACTACGATCCGTTACCACCCTGCTAGGCCCACCATCCTCTTCACATCTGGCTCTCCCAGTACCTGCATACGTCCCCGGAGGCTTCCTCAGCCACTGGTGGGCCTGCTCAGAGGTCGTGACCTGGCCCGGGACTGTTACAAGTCATCCCCACCATCAGGGGCCCTGGTGAAAGCACAGCCCGGGCTTAGACCCCACGCTCTGGGTAGGTCCGTCAGTTGGCAGCCTGAGGCACCACCTGGTGGATCATAACACTGCCCATTCCATCGTTCCTGCCCTGACACAGACCCCAGCCCTTCTCACCAAACTCGTGACTGAAGGACTAGCCAATCTAAAACCGCACTGTCACGTGCATAACAATGCCACGCCCAGCTGCACCCTGCACAAAGATTTTCCAGCTAATGGACCACAGCCTGTGTGCCGGCAGCCTGGGAGCGATTGTTACTGGGTCAGGTTAATTATGCAATTAACCCTTCACACTGCCACCACCTCCTTTTTTACAGAGAAAGAGGAAACTCGGCAATATCAGCAATAACACTATGATGTTTGCATAAGCGTCGGTATACCACTGTCACTGTAGGCAGCGATATACCGAAGTTTAAAACACACACAGTAGCACTCTTCAGAGGCAGGGGTGCTTAGTTTGCATTAAAGAGCTTTAGAAACAGTTCAACACTTTCAGAAAGTAAGATTTATTACTAAAAGGTCAAAAGGGTGCAATAAAAATATTTACAGAAAAATATGTAGCCAATATATATATATAAATATACAGAAAACAATAGCACAGCAAAGTGATAACAGAAAGAAGTTTAGAGGGTTAAAGTACTTGCCGTCAGCCTTGGTTTTAAGCAGATCAGGTTTCAGAGTCAAAAGGATGCCTTATCTCCCAACGTTAGTTCTGATGTTAAAAGGGAGAAATTCAACTTCAACTCAGTTTAACTTAGCTTTTTCTAGGAACTCCACAGGGTATCTCCCTGAAGCAGAGAACCAATCGTCTCATTTGGGGAGGGGGTTGTGTAGGCGGGGAGCTCATGTCCAAAGCCTTCACAAATTATACTATGGCCAATAACTTTTCCTAGGTACATATGACATTCTATCCACGAGTAGATTAATACCCAGAATCATCTGCTGAACGGTTAGATATGAAATATGACATACCCGCTTGAATGGTTAAGGAGATATAATTTTCTGCTCTCCTGTGTATGTCAGATAAGGGGTGTAATATACAAGATGATTTGTATTAAAGTGAGCCATCCGAATATGTGCTCCATGTTTGTTTAATTATTTCCTATTTGAAGATATAAAATTATATGAAAAAGGGAGTTTTCAAATGTAAGTCTGGAATGACTTTGAAGCTCTGTGTGGGCTGGTTTATGGTTTTACGATCCCTTCTCCAGCAAGAGTCTCACAGACATAGGGGCACCAGCTAGTAAGGTTTATAGCCATGACGCTGCCTGTGATCTCTGTCATCTAGACCATGTCACTCAGCAGAGAGGGAGGGGGGATATCGGAGGAATCTGATTTGGGAGAGAGAGATAGAAAATGGAGGGGATTGGAGCAAAATGGATGACTGCGTCCATCTCTGTGTGCATGATTGCTACAGTGATCATTTATATTTTTCCCTCCCTATAAAAGCATTGGTGGTCAGTGGTATTTCTCCTCTCATCCTTAA